CCCGAGACGGGGAGGACAGCCCCGGGAGACAGAGGGGAGTGAGGTGGGGCAGGCGGTAAGAACGGCCGTCTGAGAGCTTAAAAGGCCTCCCAGGCCCAGGCCCACCCCCCACCCCCAGTGGGCGTGCGATTCAAGGGAAGTGGCTGCGGAGGGTGGGCGTGCAGGGCGGGCACGAGGGGCATGCACAAATCCCCGAGTGTGTGCGTGCGTGCATGGGGCGGGCTCCGCCCGTTAACCCCCCACCCCCACCTTCTCCCTGCCTGGGCGGGTCCAGGACAGGAGCGGAGGGGCCGCGGGGCAGGGCTTTCCCTTGGTTCGCTGGACCTCCCGTGCTGGACAAGGAAGAGCGGGGAGAGGAGTCTGAGTAGCGCCCTCGGGTCCCCGCCCAGAGCCAGGCGGGTTCCAGCGACCGGGGCGAGGAGACCCCACGCTATTCGATGACGAGGCAGCGGGGCAGGTGCTGCGAGAAGTACTTGAAGAGTTCGGGGGTGGCCCCGGGGCAGTTAGTCAGCTCCAGCTCCTCCAGCTCCTGCAGCTGCACTAGGCCCGACAGCCCGGTGGTGGTCAGCAGTGGGCATCCTGCGGGGACCGGGCGGTGGCTGAGTGGGCGGGGCCCGGGGAAGGGGCGGTTCGTGGAAGGCGGGGCCAGCCTGCGCTGGGCGGGGCTAGAGCCTGCGGGGCATCTCCCTCCGCTGACCTGGACCTAGAGCCGCACAAGGGACCCCGCAGGTTTGGCGGAGGCGGACAAAGTGTGTGTGTGTGTGTGTGCGCGGGGGGTGACCACTGTCCAGGAGGGCGGCCGGGTTGTGTGTGTGTGTGTGTGTGCGCGCGCGCGGGGGGTGACCACTGTCCAGGAGGGCGGCCGGGTTGTGTGTGTGTGTGTGTGTGCGCGCGCGGGGGGTGACCACTGTCCAGGAGGGCGGCCGGGGGTAGTCTCACCTGCCAGAGACAGGAGACGCAAACTCCTCATGGCCAGGAGGTGCTTCAGCCCGAAGTCCTGCACCTGGGCGGGAGGGCGGAGCGAGTTAACTATTTCCGCTCGCGCCCGGTAGGAGCCCCGCTCCTGGGGTCAGGCCGCTGGCCTGGAGCTGCTGGAGGGGCAGGGAGCGGGGTTCAAAACGGGGGTTTCTCAGCTCCCCACGGAGCCAGGAGGCAGCTGGGGAATGTCGTTGAGGGCCCTGGGGACTCCGCACACTCCGCTTACGTCGGCCGCTGGGTGTGGAGGGATCCCAGACTTCCTTACAGGATCTGAGTGGGCCGGGAGCAGATCAGAGGACGGTCCGGGCGGGGCCTTCCCCGCGCCCCCCACCCCCCTGCCTACTCCCCAATCGCCAGAGGCGGAGAGGGCCGGTACCTGGCAGCACCATCGCAGGTAGAGGCTGCGGAGGGACGACATGGTAGATAAATAGCTGAGGCCCGTGTCCGTGATGCGCACACACCTGTGGTTGCAAGAGCGGGGCTGTCCACCCTCAGAACACCTCTCCTTTTCCCTCGGCTCCCACCCCTTACTCCTGTTCCCGGGGTCCCCTGGCGTGAACTCACCCCCTGCCCCACTCATAATAGCCCCTTCCTTTCCACAGCCCCCATCTCACCCACACTAGGCCCGAGTTTTGAGGACCCCGCCCCTCACCCCTGCTCCCAACCCTGCAGCAGCCCCACCCTATTTACAGTTCATTAATCTAGGCTTCGGGCTCAAAGGGCTCTGCTGACCTCGCCCGCCCCGCCCTCATGGCCTGGGGGTGGGGGAGGGTGCACACACCTGTCCAGCACCAGCTCCTCCAGCCGGTGCAGGTCGCAGGCCACGTACTCCAGCGCCATGTCAGTGATGCGCGGGCACCAGGAGAGGTCGAGGCTGCGCAGCTTGCGCAGGTTCTCAGCCACGAGCTCTACACCGTCATCCGTGACCTTCGAGCAGCCGGAGAGGCTGAGTGCTGTGAGGTTGGGCAGGCTGTGCACCACGTTGACCACACCGTGGTTGGTGATCTCCCAGCAGGAGAGCAGGCGCAAAGTGTGGGTGCTGTGGCCCTGGCGCGCTGTGAAGTAGGCCAGTGCTGTGTCCGTCACGTGGTAGGCCTGCAAGCTCAGCTCGGCCAGGTTGGGCAGCAGCTGCGAGATGGCTGCGATGGCGTCATCCGCCACGTTGATGCAGTCACTCACGCTCAGCGAGGTGATGCGGGCACTCAGGCTGGACCACAGCCCTGCCTCCGTGAAGTCGTTGCAGCCGGACAGCTCAAGGCGCACCACGCCCTGCATCTGCTCCAGCATCACCTGTGGGCGGGTCAGGAGGTATGACCTTCAAGCTCACCTAGGTTCCCTGGGTGTGCCCCTCCCCACAGAGGACCGTGAGGAGAATAGGAGGGAGGGTAGAAGGAACCCTGTCCTTCGTGTAATCATACGTGGAGCTGTACTCTTGGACAAGGGCACTTGATAGTGTTTCTGTTACACCTCAACCACACTAACAGAGGAGGCAGGGCACAGGGAACTGGGAGCCCATGGCCTGGCCAGAGCATGTGCCCAGAGCAGTTGGTGTTAATGATTTGATGATTACAGTCCAGATCCCAAGGAAGGCGCCACCTGCACCCCTGCCCTTTGCCCCGCTCCCCCCATTACCTCTAGAATCCTTCCCACTGGCATGCAGGGCCGGTGTTCAGAAGGACCTTACCCGTAATGAGCTGCGTTTCTGTCACTGTCTTGAAATTCTAAGTCATCTTTGAACAAGGGACTTGCATTTCCATTTTGGACTGGGCCGCTCAAATTATGTAACTAGTCCTGCTTTCACCTGTCCCAGAGCCGTGATCCCCCTCAGGGCATTGGCTCAGCCCTCAGCTACATTGCTTCTTGCATTCCTGAGCTGCCTCTGGGTCCACTCCCCACCTCTCCTCACCCTCACACCTGCTCCGTTGCTGCTGCCCAGCCCTGCCCCCTCCCTGTCCCTTCTGAGCCAGCAGCAGGACACACCTCCAAGCCAGCGTCAGTGATGGTGGAGCGCTTGAGGCTCATGGCCTTGACGCCCTTCTTGGACAGGGCGTAGTTATCGATGAACTCACAGATATCCAGGTCGGAGACGCCCACTAGGCAGAAGCCTTCAAACCCGCGTGCCGCAAAGCCCTGCAGGTTCACGAACTCCTTTTCACCACCGGGCAGCATGTTGTAAAGCTCCTTGGCGTGCAGCACAGGTGTGAGGCCCGCCCAGAACTTTGGCTGGTAGAGCACGCGTCGCCAGGTCTTGCACACCTGGGCCAGCACACACTTCTCGCAGGCCGAGAAGTACCAGAAGAGGCCATTGAGGATCTTCTCATCTGTGGCCAGTGGCGGCCGCTCCACTGGGGGCCCAGGTGCAGGGGCTGAGGCTGGTCCACCAAGGGGGATCCCTGCTGGGGGGCATAGGCCCCCAGCCAGGGCAGCCCGGGGCAGCGGGGCAGCCAGGCTGGGTGGTGGGAGAGTGGGTGGGGGCAGTGGTTGGCAGGGGCGGTTCCTGGCAGCGGGTGTACCCTTGGTGATACTGGCTGCACCCAGACCGTTGGGCTGGCCTGGCAACTTCACCAGGCCATTTCGAGGCAAGCATGGGGGCTTGGGGTCGCCGTCGACTCCGGGGCTGGACATCTTCCTCCGTCACTCTGCAGATAGGGGCCCAGAGTGAGGAATGAATTTCATGCTCTCTCTGGGAGGGCAGAAGAGCTGGGCCCCTTCCTGTCCCCGGGTGTCCCCTCCCAGGACACTCCTAGAACCACCCGACAAAGAGGATCTAAGTGCAGCCTCCCTCCCTGATGGAGCAGCAATAGGACAGGGCCAGTCTCTGAGCGCCTAGTGTGTGCACTGAGCTCAACCTGCACCCACTCACAGAGCTTTCCACATCTAGGTTACAATGGTTCTCATTTTACAGATGAGAGAACAGAGGTGGAGAGAGACAAGTCGCTCACCCGTTACTGTTCTCTTCACCTTTGCTACTCAGATGCCCACCATCAGTGCCTGCCAGGCCTGCCTCCACTGCACAGGGGCTGCATAGCTAAGGGAGAGGGTTTAGGGCAGTCTCTGGCCTCTCCACGGTGGGGCGCTGGCATGGCTCTCTGGAGTAGTTCCAGTATTCTTGAGATTCCCACACCAGCCCCTGAGAATCTCAGTGGCTCCAGGAGGTTTTGTAGCTCAGAATCTACACAAAGAAAGGGCAGGTGGCTTCCCAGAGATCACTGTGATGCCAGCACAGTGAGCCCTGGACCATACTGTCTTTACTTTTTTTTATTTTTTATTTTGGTTAATCCTCACCCAAGCGTATTCTTCCATTGGTCTTTTAGAGAGAGTGGAAGAGAGAGGGAAAGACAGAGAAAACATCAATATGAGAGAAACACATCGATTGGTTGCCTCCTGCACGCACCTGGGGAGGAGCCTGCAACCAAGGTATGTGCCCTTGACCAGAATCAAACCCGGGACCCTTCGGTCCGCAGGCCGACACTCTACCCACTGAGCCAAACCGGCCAGGGCACATACTATCTCTTTAACCCTCCGCCTAATTCATTGAGGATGATGCTGTGGTGACTGTAGCCATTGACCAGAGGAGGAAGCCGAGCTGAGGCAGTGTGAATTGCTGGCACAAGGTCATAGTGGTAGAGCAGAGCTGGTTATGGAAGGCTATGTGAAGGGGGCTCTCCCCAGAGCGGGGCTGAGACCACCCTGGCTTCCCTTCTTAGGCCTCCAAGTCTGTGAATGGGTGTCAGAGGGCACAGGCCACAGATGGCCCTTGAGAGATGGGGCAGTGGGACTCTCACAGTGCTACCCTTTGCTCCACATTCCAGATATCCTGCCCACCAGACATCCAGCGAGGAGGCTGTGCACTGCGTTCATCCACATGGTCACACACACTGGACTCAAAACAGGCCCCACCTCGGCTGTGTGGCCTGGGCAAGGCCTTCTCTTCTCCAAGCCTCGCTCTCCTCACTTGGAAGCCAGAGAGGTGACAATACCTCCTCCACTGGACAGCATGTGCAAAGGGCTACGCATGCTGCATGGCTGACAATGCGCACTTAGAAAATGACACGGAAATTGCTTCTGAACCCCACGGCCTGCTCGAGTGGAAGGGGACAGGAGCCACTAGGAACGAGGGAGGTAAGTGGGCAGTCTTACCCTGCTCTTCCCAGCGCCACACCCTCTATTGCTTCCAAGCCCTGGACCGGACAACCCTTGCTAGCATTCCATGCCTGGAGAGGGTGCCCAGACCTGGGACACGTGCCCCTCATAACTGCCAACCCAGCTTTGGGCCCCAAAGCCCTCCTGACCTGGCAGCCATGAGCCCCTAGGCCAGAGTCCACCCTGGGCCCTCCCTCCCCTGAAGAGGCTCCCACACCTTGGCTAGCCCCTCCCTAGCTCATGACCAGGTAGCTCATGACTTCACACAGGTTGATACATGACATCTATAACTTCTGCCAATTACCCACTGGAGTAATGGATTTCAGCCTCAGAGCAGCTGGGGGGGGGGGGGGGTTTAGATTAGCCTCCAAGGAGTTAAAGTTTGCCCACAGTGGCGGGGGTGGTGTGACATGAGGGCTGCCCTTAATGCCAGCACAGGAGGAGGGGGCCGTCGTGGCCAGCAGTGTTTCATGGAGTTACAGGATGAAGGCCACAACCGGCCCCCACTCCTGGGTCCAGGGCAGAGGATATCCCGGTAACTCCCACCTTTGGGCTGCTGGGTGCAGAGAAGCAGCCCCAGCCTGAAGACCTTGTGTGTTCCCGGAGCAGGGCTCCATGATTTCATCCCTCAGGGCGCGCCGCCCACCCGGCCTTGGCCGCTTCCCACAGTCGAGGCGGGGCCGGCTTGGCCCTCGGCGCGCAGCACCATGGACAGCGCCCCAAGCAGCCGCTGTGCGCGTGCTCGAAGGCGAGGCCCGGCCGCCTCCACCGCGGACAGCGGCTGGTGGTGTGGTGGTGTGTGGGAGACGGATCCGGCAAACCCAGCTTAGCAGGGAGGGGCCCTGGAGGCGGAGAGGGGTTTCGGGGAGAGGAAAGAAGCCGCCCGGTTCGTCTAAGATCCCAAGGAGGCAGCGGAGGCGGCACTAGGGGAGAAATAACTCAAGAGCAGATTTAGACTGAAAATGCTTCCAGCCATGGGTGTGCGCGTGGAGTGCTTGAGTTGGGGGGGATGCACGTGGATGCCCCCCCGCAACTGTGAGGCTCCCTTCCTGTCCCCCACTGGAGCTCACATTTGCACACATCCATAGTCCTTATCTACACCCTCGGGTCTTCGGGGGACAAGCTGGGGGAAACAAACTTGCCTCTGGGAGAGTGCCCTCCGAAGGAGTGGCCAGGACCAGGTCGCCCTCAGCAGCCTGGTGGGGGTGATGGTGGGGGGGGGGCTTGGGGGGTGTCTGAGGCCTGGCTGCCCCTCATCCCACACCCCCACCCCGGCCAGAGGGTACTGCCTTGCCTGTCAGTCAGCCCCCCCCACCCCCCGCCCCATGCCCTGGATCAGAACTGCCTCCCTACAGAGGCAGCCCAGCTGCTCCTCAATTTTTGTCCATGGTCCTGCTGTGTTCCAGCTGTTCCTCACACTCCAGCCTCACTGACCCGGCCTGAGAATCCCCCGCTCTGTAGCTCAAAATTGGAAACAGCCACACTTTGGCCCAGGGGTCAGGGCTTTGGGAGAAAGGCGAGCTCAGGGTCAGAGATTGGTCTTCCTGCCAGTTAGGTCCATGCAGGGCTAGGACGAGGGCCCCTTTGCCTGGCCCAGGCCCCATCCACCTAGCCAGTTGGTTCACAGTGCCCCTACCTTCCTGGTACCTGTGACTGCACCCAGTGGGGCTTGAAGGTCCTGCTTGGAGTTTCCCACCAGCTGCTGGTCTGCTGGGGGCTGCCTCCCCATTTAGGGATAAACACCGGGAGCGAATGCTGGGAAAAGAGGCTTTTCAAAAAGATGCCCACACTTGCACTATTATTGGCCTCAGCACTGGCGGGTTGTTCTCAGTGAGGAGTAGAATGACAGGGGAGGTCCCCAGAGCTTGAGGCTCCTGGGGTCACCGCAGGGGAAGGGGGAAGATGGTGGCCTCTACTTTAGTTGTCTGGTCCTCCTCAGCCTGAACCAGAGCTGGGTCAGGGGGCCACTTGGGAGAGCCCCCGTGTTTCCCCAGCAGACTTACAGCGAAGCATGGTAGCCAGAGCGGACCTAGGAAACAGAGCGAGGCCCCGGGGACTCCTGGGAGTCCTCCGGAACTTTGTGACTTCCAGGCTGACAGGCTGCAGACAGCCACGCTGGGGCTTCGTAAGGAGCTGCCTCTTTTGCAGATCCTCACTAGGCCCTGAGACCCAGGTCATCACTAGGCCCGAAGGACCCCCAGCACTGAGGAAGCATCTCCAGGGTCTCAGTCAGCAGCTGGGCTCTCATCACTGTCTACCTACTGGCCTCTCCCCTTGGCTGGGGGCTCCTTGAGGAAAGATGGCACCAGGGCTCAGGGGCCTCATAGTGCTTGCTTGCTTGCTGAATGAATGAATGAATGAGGATTGGCAATCAGTTAGCAGGGGTCATGCAGAAAGGGGTGTGGCTACCTAAAGCCCATGAGGCTTGATGGAGGACAGGTTAGATTAAGAGGAGGGCAGTCAGAGGGGGAGCTGCAACTCCGTTCATTCATCCCGGTTGTGACAGGCCACAGGGGAGGGAGGCCACTGGGGTTGGCTTGGTACCAGAGTCTCTGGGAAGGCCCCCAAGACCCTGGGGCTCGAGGTGGGCCTTGCAGTTATTCAGACCCTTGGGAAGAGGATGACTCATGGCTCCTTTTCGGCCAAGACTCCCCTTGGGAACTGCAGGGTTAAGGAGGCTGGCTGCCTCTCCCCCATAATCCGGCCGGACCTGAGGAGAAGCGGACAGGCACCACCAGGAGGGAGGGAGGCTAGCGGTCCTGCTCTTCCCAGCACCACACCCCTCACTGCTGGTCTGAGTCCTTCACACACTGCCTAACCATCCGACATAGTGGGGAAAGCAGGGCTCAGAGAGTCAATTTTTAGAAGTTGAACAAATCTGGGATTTGAACCCAAGATCCCCATCTGTCTGACTCCCTAAGCCCAGGCCAGGCACAGTGGTCCAGAGGGCAACCCAGGCCCCCCAGCCAGCCTGTCACTGGCCAGGCACACCTCCTGTGGCCTCTTTACTCTGCCCTGTTCTGCTTACGTACCTGTGCCCTCCCAGTTCGGAACCCTGGGCTGGTGGTCTCCCCACCATTGTCCCTGTCACACCCCAATCTCCTTCCAGAGGCTGCAAGCTGCATGCCCACCACTGGGACACGAGGGCTGCCCTTAATGCCAGAACAGGAGGAGGGGGCCATCGTGTTCTTTTGGATGTTTATTCCCGGGAAACTCTACCCCTCATGACCCCCACCGTGGAGGACTCTTCCTCCATCTCTGATACCCCATCTGACAGAGCCTGCGCTGGACACTGGAGGTCTGGCCCCAGTACAACCTGCATTGACTAGTTCCCCCTGCCTGCTGAGAGCCATGAAGCTAGAAAAACTCACACAGACCGACCTGTGGTGGTAACCCCAGGGGCTGGGTGACAACCGGGGCAGCTTGGGATTGGGGGTGTGGTGCAGGCTGACACATTCCATGACAAACCCCGTGACTCAGGCACATTCACATCCCTGTCACTTTGCACACGTCCTAGCCGCAGCGCTCCCTTCCCGCCCCCAGCTTGGAGATGCTTCTGGGGTGCAGGCTGCCCCACCCATGCACCAGGGGCTCCGAGAAGGGAGCACGTGGCCTCAAGAGGGATTGGAGTTCATGCTCCAACAGTCTTCTGGCCAAGCTCGGGGCAGCTCAGCCAAGTGAGACTGGGCGCCTTGGGGAGTGGATGTGGGATGTCAGGCCTCATCTCAGCCCGTCTACTCTGAAGCACCTGAGCACCAGGGCCCAGGCCTGGGGTGTTCAGTGCCTGCTTCTTTGGGCGGCTGCCTCGATCCCTCTCCCTCTTTCCTGCCAAGTAGGGGAAGGTGGCCCAAGCCCACCCTCTGTGGCTGTTCTGGTTGAAGTCCCTCCCAGTCCACGTGTAGAAACGATTCTGAGCCACCCACCGACCCCACAAACCTTCCTTCACTGCCACCTCCACTCTTCCCACGCCAGCCTCTGAGACCCAGGTCACAAAATGGGGGCCAGCCAAGGAGCTCCTTCCCCTACCTCCGGGGGAGACCTCTCCCTGGCTCTCAGCAGTGCAGGCCTCCTGGGCTGGGCCCAGCTGTCTGAAGGGCACCAGGTCCCCCAACCTCAGGTTCACTTGTTTTCTTCCCATCAGTGGGAGATAGGACTCGCTCAAGTGCCCAGGAAGTGGGTGTGAGCTGGAGGGTGGCAAATGTCCCATGACCCTCCGCAGCATTAGAGGTTCTCATAGGCCTGGCCCAAGGTGAGGGGTGGCTGATGTGGGGAGAGCCAGAGACCGGAGGCGGGAAGCACTGGGGGAGCTAGTCCTGGGGTCCTGTGGGGCCCGAACAGCCCACCCTGCACTGCCCATGTTTACAACTGGGGCATGCCATTTTCTCCTCTCCAGACAGCTCAGCTCCAGCCCTGTGGCCACTTCCTGTTGAACCCATGGGTCTCCATCAGGCTTCTGACCTGGCCTGTGGGCCCCCAGACTTCTCAGGCCTTCTGCACCCAGGCTGCTGTCCAGCAGCCTTCAAAGGAGTCTGATGTAGGAAGGGGCCCAGTGCCTGCCTGGCACCAGGGAGGCCTGAACTGACTCTGGTCACTGGGAACTAGGAGGAGGCGGTGTGGGGAGGGGCATGCTGGAGGGGCAGGTGAGGTGGCATCCACCATCTGCTCTCTCCATGCAGGGGAGGCTTCCTGTGTAGAGGAAGGGAGGGGCTGGAGGAGTGGCCACTGGGCCTTGGGCTCCCTGAGGTTCCAATAGCCAGGGCTTCTCTCCTCCTGGGGTGATTGGTGTTCCATTCTCCCCACCTGCTCAAACTCCAGGAGTACAGGCCCCCCTCCCCAGCAAGTCCCAGGGTACCCATTTCCCCTTCTGAGGCCCTGCAGCTTTGGCCAAGGCCTGACCCCTCCTCCAGAACCAGGCATGTGCTCAGTCCCCTCCCGTCCCCTCCTTCTCCCACTGTGCCAGCTCCATACAGGCCCAGGGC